CAAATTGGCCCCCCCCCCCCCGAATTGTTTTATAATTTCCTCTTTGTATCTCAAAAATTTTCGATGGTGGAAGGAAGCGAAGATAGAAAAAAATCATTTTGTAATTTTTCTGTTTTTGGAACTCAATTCGGGGCGCGAGAGGGCATGGAGGGAGGTGCGGTAGATATGGGGCGATACACGACTAAAAGAAAAAAAAAGATTGAGAAAAAAAACAGAACAATTATTAAAACATAATTTTCGGCCCTGGAATAAGTAGTCACGGACATTTAAAAAAAAGAGTCAGACCAGATTAAAAGTGGTCTGATCGAAAAATCGAAGAGGAACTTTCGATTCTGAAAATGATTCTCTCGAATACCCTTCGAGGAAAATTAGCAGTTGCGGGACACCCTCATGTGTTCATAATGTGTTCCGCTTCAAAGGAGTTTTTAAAATTCTCTAGAACGACCTAGCAAATGCGGCCTATTTTTTCTCTGTAAGTTCCTCCGTTATTGAGTCTATATATGAGCCCAACGCTTCAATTGGGTTACTGATTTGACTTTGCAAAATCGATTTTGAACCGTTTCTAATGCAAGATTTTTCGATTGTCCGCTCCTCCAGAATTCCACGGCTTTTGTTTTATAATCATGAGTCAATCCTTCTGAATCAATTGGATATTGATCGTCATTATTATCAAAACCCTATATATTATTATCCTCTACTATTTCCATTGATACATCCTTACAAAGCTCCTAGAATGCAAGTGTTTCCTCTTCAACAATGTCTACACCATTGAATTCATTCATGGCATCGAGTAGAATTTGTTCCAGTTTTCCTTTTAATTGTATCTCTTGTTGTGTTACTGGAGTGTTTTTCAATGGCAATTGTTGGAAGGTCACCAACAATAATTGAAGAACGTTAAGGGGCTTGATGCCCATCTTTTTCATACAAGAATGATCTGAAATTATTATTATACATATTTTCTATTCAATAACCCTAGCTGGCGTTATCTGCTGATTGTCGATGTACCGCCGTAAAAGATCTTCCGATCCTTTATCGTATTACAGGTTGCCGTTGCTAGATTTGAATCCTAATGACAATGACGTCGTGAAAATGCTCAAATAAATGCTTGACAATGCCGTTTTGCCCCTTTTTTCTTGTTTATCCTCACCGTTCCAATTTTCTCCGGTTTGCCTTATAAGTTCCAGATGTATCATAAACTGAACTAACCAAGCAAATGATATATTCTTCTCTATTCACTATACTACGCCACAATAGTATTTGTGATGATAAGAATCCACTTCGATTTAGCCTGTTCCGATAGGCACGAAAACTTGGTAATGTATTTTGTTAACATAAGACTACTTATAGCCCGTATGTGTATCGATAGAGCATTTAAAAATAACTTTATTTTTGCGGTGCTATCGGTTGGGGTCAATATGTCAGTCATTAAAATAAATTTCCTTGCGTTGTACTAATAATATGGGAATTGGAAAACAAATCAATAAAAAACACACGCATTGGAACTCGATTCTTCTTCTCATGCATTCTCAATATTTGGAATACTTGCATAAACATGAACAGTGAATTCAAAAGGACCAGAGGTCGCCGACCGGTGAAGACACACCGCACGGATGATTACAATATTTGAGGATGATCTTAACGACGAAATTCAAACTTTGAAAGCAAAAATATATCAATTCCATTTCCTGATTGTTTGCAATCGCGTGATATGAAGTTCATGCCTATGTGTAAATGAAAAATCAAAGCTATCTTCATTTTGGATGGACAGTTTCAAGGAAGAATGAAAAAAATTAACCTAGTAGAATTTTCGATATGGGTACTTTGGTTAGGTAATGGTTAAAACATCATGAGTAATGATTAGATAATATCATTCAGGATATTTTATGTAGAATTATCTTGCAAGTTTGCAGAACTTTAAGTTCATATTAAATCATTCCAAGGGGTGGTTTATCCCATGAAAGGGTGGTTTGGCGGAAACCCTGAAACACGTCGATTTAGTTCTATTTTTTATCAAAGGCACCAATTTTCAATGAGATTCGGCCAAATTGAGAGCTTTTGCACTGAAAAGATGTATGAAAAAACCTAATTTTGTTCAATAAATCATTCAAAAAGCTAAGCCGTGTAAACGAACCCTATATCCATAAAAGCCCATCCGAATAAGTATTTGAATGCAGAAAAAAAATTGGGAAAATATTGCGTAGTTTTCGAGAAATCGCGAAAAATTATTTTTTGGGGTGAACTTCAAACGCCATTTTCTGCCCTCTATGACCGAATTAACACGTAAAAAAAATACGTGGTCAATCATATTTCATGTAGAATAACATATGTCAAAATGAAGAAAATCGGTGAGGTACACCTGGGGACCTTTCCTTGTGAGTGGACCATTTTGTCCCCTGGCACATTTTGCCCCCATCTCCACTGTTAAAATGCAAAGTTGGACTCAGAATTCCATCGTAGCTGTGTTACTCTGTTATTGTGTCATATGATTGTGCAAATGTAACAGTCATTTACACCGGAATATTGATTTGAGGTATATGGTTCAAGTTCCATTCAGGCAAATCGGATAGTATGAAAGGCGTAAAAAAACAGGAGTATCTGCATAAGAACGTTTATTCATTTATCACACTTGAATTGTTCACATAATAAAATAGATTGAATGGATCAAAAAAACCCTCATATAAAAAAAAACATATATATATGTGGACGTACGCATGAAAAGGGACTACTTTGTCGATTCTAGTTTCCGAGATATTCACGTTTTTCTCTTGCCAACTCCCATTTAAACCCATGTTAAATTATTTTTTCGATCTTTTTTAGCGTCGTCACTCTTTACGCTATCAAGTTCATTCTGGGCTCTAAATGTTCAGGATCAGATCAAGATTATGGGAATATACATAACTCCAATAGTGCCAAAGTGGTCCCTTTTCATGCGGAC